GGATATTAATGTATGTTGAAAATTTGCTTACATTTGCCTCAAAATATCAAAGCATATTGAGCACATGGAATGAAAAAACAAAACCGATTTGATATGGTACTGACAGCGGTGAGTAAGTAATTGTGACTGCCTGCAATTAGGAAAAGTCGATCTCAACTAATAAAAAAACTAATTAGAAGCTATTCATTACAGGTGAACCATTTCAAAAAGTTAAATTATTATAAAAAATGGGATTCCTTTTTTTTGTTTTTAACAAAATAACAAGATTTTAAACTAATTCGGCTTTCACGACTTTCAAACAGAATTTTCTTCGAAATTTTCATTCCCAGAAAATCACATTTTATTTGCCATATCCACCTATTTACAACCTCGCTATAAGCACACATTTTCAACCCAGTCACAGAAGAAAGGACTAAAAATTAATTACAAAAACTAAAATCGAAAATCGCTGATGAAGTTACAACCAAAAGACAACCAAACAACCAAAACAATGAGAAACAACCAAAAGAATGAGAATGAAGAATTCTATGGAAAATAACGGTGTTTAAACAACGATCTTTTCATGGTGCTAGATTGTGAAGACGACATTTGCAGCGCCGATGCAATTCTGAGAAAGGAGTTATTGGAGAGATTTTACAATTTTGTCAAGTTTCAAGTTTTTCAAGTTATTCGTCTTGAGCGAGTAGTTATTTAGCGGCGCAGGTTTGATTTACGATACTTTAAGAAACAGGCTTTAACCCAATTCCAATTTTTAAAGTCAAGTAAGAAATTAAAAAAAAACACATTATTTAAAATGACTACCTTTTCCTTTTTTTATTTACCTAAATTACCTCATTTACCCACCTAAATTTTTTCTTTTAAATACTTGACATCCGCATTTGCATTCGTATCCGCGGATGTTAGCTCTTAAAGATCCGCATCCGCATTCGCATCCGCGGATGTCTAAAATTCCACATCCGCAACATCCCTATTCTAAAGTACTCATATCTTTATATCGAACTTGCACCTTATTATACTGAAATTAAGCTGGCTATAAAAAAGCATGCCCAAAACTTTTCTAAAAAATCTGATTAAAAAATTTAAAATTATGAAAGCAAATTTTTGAAACTGGTTGAATTTTCGCGAATTTCGCATTTATTGACAAATTTTACTTGCAAAATTACTTGATTTGTTTATGAACTACGAATGAGCCGTAAAATTTGATAATGTGAAAATGCTTTATAATATACTTTTTCTGTTCAAAATCTTCAAATCGCTAAAATTAAAACCCGGAAAATTACGCTGTTTGAAAAAAAATCATGTTCCTTTTTTCTTTGTGTAGTCAATTTAACCTTATTTGATAAGTAGACCCAAGCCAATGTTTAAAACAGTTCTACAATTTTATTTATGTGGTTTCCTTTATGAGGCATTCGTTTCTGTCCATATGTACACATATGCATATAAGATGCAAACGCAATTAAAATTTGTTTAAGGTAATATTGAAGTAATTCTCAAAGTTAGTATCAGACATATGCATATGCTTATGCGTTTCAATTGATCTAATTTGCTACAAAACATAGCACTCACACCTCAAAGGGTTAAATTGTTTGTTTACAGTTTTTTGACATCATAACTAGCTACATGAGAGTTCGAGCTAGTTGTCACTTCTACCTTATTAAATATGCCTTGGATGGCAGATACGAAATTGTGTTTTTTGATTGGCGATATGCACATATCTACATACACATGTGGGATGAAAAGCTAGGGTTTTGGTGTAGGGGTTTGAAGATTATAATTTGAATTTTTCCACCAAAAATTTTCTGAACGACATGCAGGCGAGATTCTAATAATAGCACTGGTTTACAGCAAAAATGATCTATGTATGCCACTATCCAATTCCTATGTAGAATTGCTCAGTGATTTCGAAAATCGAGTTAGTTTTTTTTCAATGGATACGTTTTCGAGATATTTGATTTACCGTTATTCAGCTTAAATCAAAAATTGGTTCCTTTTAATCACGTATATCTTACGAACTAATTTAAAAGTCTTAATATAAAATTCGGCAAATAAAAGCCAATGAAATTCTCGGTGGAGTGCAATAAGGCCCGCGTAAATAAATCCAATGGGCAAAAAAAAGAGAAATAAAGCCTATGGGCGTTATTTCCTCTTTCAAGGGTAAATAGCGCCAACCCATAAAAAGCAATAAAGCCATCGGGCTTTATTTCCTTTGAGAAAGGGCAATACTGGTCGCGGGCTTTATTTCCCAAAGAAAAGGAAATAACGCCGGCTTAATTCATTTCATAAAAAAGAAAATAAAGCCCGTAAGTAGTATTTTCTCTGGCTTTATTTTACTGAAATATTCCAATTATGTATACAGGCATACATTTGCATAAAACAGAACGTATTTTAAACGAATTGCTCTCTATATTTTCATACAGTGTAGTTCTGCTTTAAATTCCCTTCTGCAGAATATTTATAAAATCGAACGGTATTTTTGCCAATAACTGATAAGCGAATTATTGGAAATTAAAGGTAAATTGTTATTGTTTTTTAGCCTTTAATGCGATGTGCATATTTGTTGTCAGCATCTTAGGTTTTTCAGTGGTGGCGCAAAAACGCGGACCGCCGCGGTTGAGCGCCAACAGGCTCGCTTAGCCGCCCCCCGCTCGCCATTACTGCGGAAAATGTATATGTTTATATACTTACATTATTTCAATGCTTTATATGAATGTATGATGAGAAGTTGGGGTGGTTTGTGTACCCACGCCGCAGAAATACTGTGGTGATGTGGGTGACGCACGGGTTGTATTAGCTGAGAAGGCGACTGAAAATTTTCGCAAACAACAAAAATGAGTAAAGGAAAGAAAAACATAAAGCAGCCGTGGTCGAGTAGTTTGTGTGACATCAAGGCACACACCGCCAATCGGAGGAGAAGCTCGGCCTAGATCTGTCAAACTATCGACGATACTATCGATAGTCTGGTCACCTGAAATAACTATCGATAGTTTTAGCACTATCGCCACTATCGTTTCATTGATACGTATTCTCTTCCCTAGCGCTTTTGACATTTGCACGTATGGGTTTAAAGAGAACAAAACTTGGCAGCATTATTTCATGAACGAACGAATAAAGATCATACAGGACGGTGTGCGAGAAAACAGCATTTTTTTTGCAGTGCCGTAATTTTTTCGCCGCCATGTGAATGAAACGAAATGAAACCATGCGTGTGAATGAAACAACCGATTAAAAAATGACGTTATCAACTATTCTTTTTTTTTCTCAAATGCAATTACAAATACAAGGTTGCCGTGCTGGGTGATCTGTTTAGTTGGTTCATGGCATTATTTCTAAAAGCGCCATTTTTTATTTTAAGCATGGAAACAGCAGAGGTTACATTGCCGTGTCTGACCTGGCAATGCAGTATATTTCAAAAGACTGTCAAATTGAGAAGTTTCAGGAAGCAGTTGCATGAGCAGTGGCACCTTGCATGTAAAGTGTCTTTCGAAAGACATTTTTTTATTTCCGAAAGGCGAATTGCAGGGAAAATTTCTGAAATCGCTTTTTGACTGTTTACACGGCGAATGAATTTCTAGCAATATTTCTCGATACTAAAATGCAACCGTGGGCCGCTAAAATAAACAAATTTATAAAAGCAAGCACACGAAAANTGGTGTATATAAGGTGTAAGGAGAATTTCATTGGCTTTCATTTGCCGTATTTTATATTAAGATTTTTAAATTGATTCGTAAGATATACGTGATCAAAAGGAATCAATTTTTGCTTTCAGCTGAATAACGGTAAATTACAAATATCTCGAAAACGTATCCATAGAAAAAAAAATTAACCCGAATGTCGGAATCACCGAGCAATTCTACATAGAGATTGGATAGTGGCGTCTGGAGAACAAAAACCAAATTAGAATTTGTGATCCAGTGTAAACTGTGGAATAATGAAGCTATCCTTGCCTCAAAAGAGATTTATTTTCGTACTACATAGTAGTTTATTTAAAATCTTAAAGTTGGTTTATTGGTTTAAAGTATATTTAAAAAGGCTTTATAAAAATAAAAATTGGTCATGAAATATATTTAAATTTAATCAAATAAAAATGCAAGGATTTGGTCTAAAGGGATGAAAATCTATAAATCAATGATTTCACCGTATCACAAATTTTAATTTTTGTTCTGCCACTATTTAGAATAGCTCGCTGATTCCGAAAGTCGAGTAAATTTTCTTTTCCTATGGACAAGTTTTAGAGATATTTGCAATTTATCTTTATTTAGCTAAGAAATTGGTTCCACTTTAGAAAGTGTACTGAAATTAAAAATAAGTTTTTTTTCGCTTGTAGCAAAATAGCATTGCTTTCTGAACATACGCTATGACCTGAAAACATAGTTGACGTCAAGTTGACGTAGAAAACATCGTAATAACCCAGATACACCAGCACCTAAAACGAGAAGATGCTACAAGAAGAACCATGGCAAGAAGGTGAAAGAGAAGATGTTATAAGGACCATGGCAAAAAAGTTAAAAGCGCAGAAAAGTAGGTGAACATGACACGACGGGACGGTGAAGGTTTTTCTATTAATACATAACTGGTGTGAGTAGATGCTAATTGTAGACAGAGAGCATCGCAACTGCAACGGACTTAAAGCGCAAACACTCAACGATGTAGCGTAGACGTAGGTTGACGCAGACACGATCTACCTTATGGGATTCGCTTATTAACGAAAACTCACCACCGCATGGCGGTGACGTTGCCGTTGCTTCTTTCTCTCTCAATCACCAGTAAATTTGATATGCTGCTACGTACGTCGTTGACTAACTGCGCTTTTAGAGCTTAGCGCTAAACCCCCTCCTCCCTTCGAATAACTTTACGATAGTACCGGGGCGTTTGGTATTTGGACGGTAGGAGGTTTAGTTCGGGTTAAAGTCTCACACTGACGCGGTTTGGCTTTCAATGTTTCCCCCTCGTAAATAAAGTGCTTATGTACTAAGTAATTTGATAAATTGTTATCTAGTTACCAGATATGTTACAGGATATCGCGGTGATGCTAACACTGATGGTCTCCAAGACAATCTTAAGGTACTGTCAGTCATTCGTGATATGGTTGGCCTTTCCGTAAGTGGTGTGGGAACGCCTGTCTTTTTGAACTTGTTCAAATCATTATATTGCTCTGATAATGGTCTTCTGTTATGGTCGTCAATAGCTATAATTACGAAAAATGATAAAAGTTCAGTTCATAAAAACTATTCAGATATAAAATTTAGTACTTACTATCATAAAAAAGATGAGCATGACACGTGTCATCTCCATATGGATTAAATATATGGCACGAATAGCGCCCAACATCAGTATCGTCAGCATCTTTAATAGTTAGTCGCAGTAAGCCATTGGGTTCATGGTCCATAGATATTTTCCCACTAGGGAAAAGTTTTTGGTCATTCTTAAACCATTCCGCTTCAGGTTCAGGACTACCTGTGGCACACGCTGTAAATTTTGCAGTCATACCAGGATAAATTTCACAATCTCCAATTTTCTTTAGGAATGTTGGTGGTTCAGATCGAACGTATTTTTTCCTGTAATAATATTTATAATCAAATAAATATGTTTAGGCATATGTACTAAAGCAGAGATAATGTCTAAAATAAAATAATTTGGCATTTATGTACATACATATCGTCGCTTGGCGCGCAATACCACGTATACAAAAGAGCAAGAAAACTGATTTTTTTGAAAAGTACTGGATTGTTTATAAACTGAACATACTATTAGACTTTGGTATCATCAATATTGTGGAGGCAATATATTAAATAAAGGATTTTAAAAAGCTGAAAAAATCGCTGTTTTTCATGAACGTGGTATTGCTGATGCGATATTTTTCATTTCAATCTTATACGCGGTATTGAAAATATATACACAGATAGCACGTAATCCAGTTTATTTGCAATTAGATAGTTAATTTTCCAAATTATCTGAAAAATGTATTTTAAAATTATTAAATATTAGGCATTAAATATGTATAAGTTAGGTTTCATACGGCAAATTATGGTAAAAACTGTAACAATCTTTAGATAAAATTTGTTTTAGTTCTTGTAAATGTTGATTNTGTAATAATATTTATAATCAAATAAATATGTTTAGGCATATGTACTAAAGCAGAGATAATGTCTAAAATAAAATAATTTGGCATTTATGTACATACATATCGTCGCTTGGCGCGCAATACCACGTATACAAAAGAGCAAGAAAACTGATTTTTTTGAAAAGTACTGGATTGTTTATAAACTGAACATACTATTAGACTTTGGTATCATCAATATTGTGGAGGCAATATATTAAATAAAGGATTTTAAAAAGCTGAAAAAATCGCTGTTTTTCATGAACGTGGTATTGCTGATGCGATATTTTTCAGATAGCACGTAATCCAGTTTATTTTCAATTAGATAGTTAATTTTCCAAATTATCTTAAAAATGTATTTTAAAATTATTAAATATTAGGCATTAAATATGTAAAAGTTAGATTTCATACGGCAAATTATGGTAAAAACTGTAACAATCTTTAGATAAAATTTGTTTTAGTTCTTGTAAATGTTGATTTTTTTTTAATTTTTTTAACGAGATAGAAAAAGCTTTTTTAAATTTCTTTTGGAGGGATTTTTTTTTCGGTCGGCGCAGTAATGGGATGAAGTCCTTTTTGAGGTCCAGTTTGTACCGAATTGTACCGTTAGGCAAGTAATGAAGTATCCCCTGATCTTCGGCCGGGTCATATAGACTCATTTATAAAGGACTTCTGATCACTATAATCATTAAAGAATGAACGATCAATTATTTTAACCTTATATGAAAATGGTTATCTACGCGCCCCTTACGTCGCCGNTAGAAAAAGCTTTTTTAAATTTCTTTTGGAGGGATTTTTTTTTCGGTCGGCGCAGTAATGGGATGAAGTCCTTTTTGAGGTCCAGTTTGTACCGAATTGTACCGTTAGGCAAGTAATGAAGTATCCCCTGATCTTCGGCCGGGTCATATAGACTCATTTATAAAGGACTTCTGATCACTATAATCATTAAAGAATGAATGATCAATTATTTTAACCTTATATGAAAATGGTTATCTACGCGCCCCTTGCGTCGCCAGGGCATATTGGCTTGGCAAATAAATTTCTTGATTTTTCAATATCCTTTAAATTGCTGAATGAAGCAAGTCTTAGCAAAGCATTGGAAAGAACAGTATTCCTGTTTTGGTATGTGCACCCGTCCGTGTAAATTACTACTCTGGTTTGGGGTCCTCACATAGTATTGACGTAATGTAACCAACATAAAAGTTTGTGAAAGATGATGATTTCAGATCACCCTCGGTCTCATCAAACCAGTAGCGAGATTATAATTGTGAAGTTGTGAACTGCAAGTTTGGTTTTGTAGTAAGCAGTACTAGCATTTAATTTTGGGCATAATTTTAGAGCTTGTAAATCAGCTGTTATCAAATGAATTTTGCCAACGTTTTGTCATTTGAGGTGATTTTTTCAAAAAAAATCTTTAAAAAACTATTTTTATTCATAAAAAACTCCATCTTTGTAGGTATTTTCAAATCGGTCCAGCTCACTTAAATCTTAATATTTTTTCGAAATATTTTGGTGGGCGTCTTAAAATATAATAGATTTTATAATTCCAATGGAAAAACAGTACCGATTTTTTTTGTATGGGGAGTGATGCAGTCTAATGTATATATAACATACCATTATATTCATCAAATTGGTAAAATTTTTGTTTTTATGGTCCCCGTTTGAAACAAATGGTGATAACAGCATTCCACGAGAATGCGGCGAAGTTTTGTTGCCACCCATTAGAATATTTATATAAAAAAAATATTTTTGTTAAACCGCGTGTCAACTCCACGAAGATATACTGCTGACTAAAGACAGTGAAGTCAACTATACTTGATGTTGCTATCACAGTTTTGCCAATGTTCTTATTCGCGGTATTGCAGTTTACGGTTTTTGTTGTTGTCCGAATAGCAACATTTTTGCCTAAATAAATGAGATTGAGTAACATAGACATAGTTTGAGCAAATCTCAATTTTTGCCTTTTCGAGATATACGAGGTATTGCATTTGGCGTATACGTAGGGCTGCCAGATATCTCTGTTGCCAAACCGGGACACTTTAGGGAGGGTCTCTCGTTCCCTTCCCTTTCATTTCGACGTGCGAAAGGATGCAGTGAAATTTTATTTTGATAGACAAAAACAAAAACATAAAAACATGAGATCATGAGATCAATTCAACGCGAACAAAACAAAACAACTTATCACAACTAAAGCACAGAGAATTTTTCACAATGCATGAACCTTATTTTATTCTTTATAAAAATACAGTTTATACTAAATATATCAAAAAACATAAAAATAAAATTGTTAAACTTTGTGCTAAATTCAATAAATTTCATACAAATTTGCAACATTGTAATCAGACTTTTTATAAAAAATTTTAAAATGAAGTTTTGCAGCCCATTAAATTTTAGTTGAATTTTGGTATTGGTATTTACTGAAAGTTTCTTCCATACAAACTATGTTCGATAATTCTTTTTATATGGAAGACACTGTCAGCAAAAAAA